GCAATGTTAGTAAAGAGAAAGAGAGAGAGAAAGATACAAGTATAAAAGTGGAAAGAATAGAAGAAGAAAGAACGATGAGAAGTTGCTTGCTTTTGCTTGCTGGAGACTCCAGTAGACCGGCTGGCAGGGCTGGTGTGGTGTGTTGGCCCTTGTATTGATTCACGGCCCCTCGTACACCAACCCCCAACGAAACTTGAGAGCCACAGAAAGCAAGAGAGAGAAAGAGAGAGAGAAATAGTGTAGTCAAACTATCCTAGACTCGTCATCGAGGTTGAAATATCAAACTATTTCACCACCAGTAGTATTAGTAGTAGTAGTAGTAGTATGCCATAATCCCTTTAACCGAGGGCTACTCGTAATTCGCAGTAATTCGTGAGGACTTCTCTTGATCTATGTTGTTAGGCTTCTTTCGCAACCCTTATCGTCTTTCCCCAAACTCTTCCTAAAAAGAGTATAAAAAAAAAACACCTGATCCTTTTCTCTCTATATTCGGGATATGAAAAGTTTCATTTTTGTAGAAAAAGAATTTCAAATAGAAAAAAAAAAAAAAAAGATTAAAAAAACTATGTAATATTCTTTAATAACCAGAGATATAACGATGATGATGGGTAGAGAAATCCTAGGGAAATTTTCATCAAAGATATTAAAAATAATCGGTTATCATCCATTGATAAAGAAGATAACGATTATTACCTATTAATCAAACATTATTTACCGATCGAGTAGTAGAAATTTTCTTTTCTTCTTTTTTTTATTCTTTTTCATCTCTTTGGAGATTCTTCTTTTTATTTTCCATTTTTTTTTTTATTTCCAAGAGAAAAGATACTCAAACATTTCTAAATCGTATTTAAGGTGTTAAGTGTACGAATCGTTGAGCGTAAAGAAAAGAATAAACGAGTGGATTTTCTTTCTCTCCCTCAACTTTTTCTTCCTTCCTTTCTTTCTTTCTTTCTTTCTTTCTTTCTTTACTCCTTTCTTCCTTTCTTTCTTTTTTTTTTTTGTTCCTTTTGTGAACGAATGCGTTCACACTCTTTTTTCCACGTTTTCATGTATTCACCCTCTTGCGTACTCAACGAACCACTTTCATGTTCCTTTTTCAAACGACCAATCAAATTCACGTCTAATTGCTGGAAAAGAGTAGTGACGTTATAAAAGGACTCATTTTGTACTTACGTAAGTACATACGTATATTTACGTTACTGTAAATGTCCTTTTTACGAAAGGACTTTTTTTTAATCACTTTCAGAAACGTTTTTATCGATCGAGAAAAAGTCTACTAAGGAAAATGTCTACAATTTCACCCCCCACCCCATCCTTTTTCTTTTCCCACGGTTCTCTCACCCACCCTCATTCTTTTTCAATTGTTTGTTTGTTTTTTTTCTGTTTTTTTTTTTTTTTTTAATATTATTATTATTATTATTTTCAATGTAATTTAGATTAAACTTAAATTCATGTTATATTATTAACCGAGTTATACCTGTAAAGAGACTTTAAGAGTATAATGGAAGGGGTAAAAGATTGAGAGAGAGAGAAAGCGAGGGAGGGAGGGAGGGAGAAAGAGAGAAAATTCGCGCAGTGCCGCCTGCTGGCTCGCGATCGTACTAGAGTGACGCAGTCACCACCTGGCCTAAAACCGTAGCGCATCCACCCTCGAAATTTGCCATTTTTCTTCAACGTAACATCACACAATCTTAATCTTATACGACACAAATTAACAATATTATATTCTGTAAGTATAAAATCTATTTTTCTTAATATATATTTTCTTCATTCTTTCTTTCTTTCCTTATTTTCTTGTTTCTTTTTCGAGATTTGATTGACAGAAAGAAAAGAAAGAAAAAAAAAAAGAAAACACATCCCTCAGTGTCGTGCGCAAGAAAATAGATTTGTTTGTTACGAAAGACAGCATGAATTTAAAATCCCCTCTCATAAACCCTAACCCTAACCCTATCCTTTTCTTTCTCACACACCCACATACGCATACATGCGCAAATACAAATATACAAATAGAAATTTTTCTGTGGTTCTTTTTTTTTCTTTCTCTTACTCTCTGGATGTATTTGAATAAAATTCATTTATAATTTGTGAAAGATCAAATTCCTCTAGAGGATTAATTATCATCAATTAATTATTATAGGAACATTTCTAATCCTTATACTAGTCTTTATATAGATATATATAGATATAGATATAGATATAGATATAGATATAGATATAGATATAGATATAGATATTATATAAATGTGTATGATCTTGGGTGGTGCACTAGGAAGAGAGAAGGCGTGTTCAGGATAAGGTCGATAACATCATGCGCCCGCGCATTTCTATCTTTCTTTCTCTTTCTCTCTATTTTTTTTCTTTGTTCTAAGAAAAGAAAAGATGTCCAAAAAAAGAAAACTAGAGAACTATTTTCTATCCCTAGTATTTTTTTTTCAATACTATTCTTTGTTAGTTTTATTATAATAATAATAATAATAATTTTTCGTTGTTTTTTTTCTATTTCTTTGTTTACTACAATTCTATGAAAGATAAAAATTAAGATAATAAGAAACTAACAACCCCTAGGGATTATCGGAAGTACATATATATATATATATATATATATATGTATAAATTTTTATAACACAATATAGAATTAAAAAAAATTTCATTGTTTGATGATAAAAATGGGATGAACTCTGGGTGCCAGGGAAAAGACGAAAAGGGTGGTTTAATGCAGGATGAGTTGCATATATATATATATGTATAAATTTTTATAACACAATATAGAATTAAAAAAAAATTTCATTGTTTGATGATAAAAATGGGATGAACTCTGGGTGCCAGGAAAAAGAAGAAAAGGGTGGTTAAATGCAGGATGAATTGCGAAACGAATTTTGTTTTATCGATCGACCCTTTCTCAATGCACATCCCCAATCCAACAATCCTGTGCACGCATGATCGTTCCACTTCGATCCACGCAAAAAATTACCCCTTTTTTGTTTCTTTTTTTTTTGTTTTTTTTTTGTTTTTTTTTTGTTTTTTCTTTTTATTCTCGTTCATGTTTTCTCGTTTGGTTTTTCCTTTTTTTTTCTTTTTTTTTGTTACTGCGAATCGAGTTGGTAATATAATTCTTTTTTTTTCCGTTTCTCTCTCTCTCTCTCTCTGTTTTTTTTTGTTTTTTGTTTTTTTGTAAGTTACAACCCTCGGGGTAGATAATCGAAACGTGATTGGTCCGTTAAATTCATTGAGAGAAAAGAAAGAATGTTATGTATTTAGTTACTTTTAGTTCAAATATATATATGTTTTCGAAAACCATTTTTTTTATATTCCTATTCAAATTTCAATAAGAAATATTTGTTTTTATTATTTTATTTATTTATTTAATTTGTGTATTTCAATATTTGTATATTTCTTTGTTTTTTTCTTTTTTTTTTTTATCAAAAAGAAATATTTCTACAAAGATTATCAATGTTGTATCTTTTTTTTTTTCTCTAGTTCTATTTTTTTCTAGTTCTTTTTTGAAGGATGCAACACAAAAAAAAAGACTATAACTCGATAAAATAGTATCGTATTTCGTTAATAATTAATTTGTTGACACGTAAAACGATGTAGAAGAAAGCTCTAAAAGAAAAGTTTCCAACGATTTAATTGAGTTCTAAATTTTGATTTGGAAATGTTAAAAAAAAAAAAAAAAAGAAGAAAAAAGAAGAAGAAGAAGAAGATGGTGTTTTGATGGTGGTTCGTTCGTTCGTTCGTTCTCTCGTCTTCTTGCGTGACGGAGAACATTTCTATTTTTGGAAATGAAAGTGTTAGAGAGGGAGTTGCATCGCATATATACGTAGGTGTATTATGTGTATGTGTATGTGTGTGTAAGAGAGGGGGATGGTGAGAGGGAGAAAAAAAAAGGAAGGACGAGGAAAGCAAACCACCCACGGTGACTCTTCTCCATCTTCTTTTAATCTCTTCACTTCTCCCTTTTCTTTTTTTATTTCTTCCTTTTTATATTCTCATCTCTTGACCTGAACTGAACTCACAGCCAACACAACTACCATCATCGTCTCTTTCGACCTACCTATGAGAAATACATTGAAAACATAACCTTAAAAAAATATTATTTATTTATATAAAAAGCTCGATATATTTACAAAAAAAATATCTAATTAATTATAAACCTAGTAATATTTATCTAATTGTAAGATAAATAAGAGAGAGAGAGAGAGAGAGAGAGAGAGAGGAGTTGTTACGTCAATAAAAGTTATTATTAATTAAATACTAAATTAATACTAAATTATAAAATAATTATTTATATATATTTATAATTTATAATTATAAAATAATTATAAATTAATACTAAGTTAAAAAATTACTTATGAAATAATTTATAAAAAATTATTTATAAATATCTATTTATAAATTTAATTAATATTTAATATAATTACTATTATAATTAATATTTAATAATTTTAATTTAATTAATATAATAAATATTATTAAATAATATTACATTAATATTAAATAATTTTAATTTAATTAATATAATAAATAATAAATATTATATTAAATAATATTATAATAATATTAAATAATTTATAAATAGGAAATTATTTATAAAAAAAAAAAAATATATTATAAAAATATTTTTTAATTTGTGGAAATATTTTTGTTGAATTCTTATTGGTCGTGTGCGTATAAATATATTCTATATATATACATACATATACATAGGTATATACGTATATATGCCCATTATAAAATATTTAATTTAAAAAAAAAAGAAAAAAAAATTTCACATCTAGGAAATGAAGATTGAATTCGACGGAGTTTTGATTGGTTGATATAGCGCAATGCACAAACCAATCAAAATCCATCAAAGCAAAATGTTCATACCACCTTTTATTCCCATACGTTTTCGTATTAATTTATATATAAAAAATAATCCATATTTATATAATAATAATAATAATAATAATAATAATAATAATAATAATAATTTATTTCTTTTGAATTTGTTCTTGTAGAAAGAACAAAACGAAAAAGGGGAGAGGTCGTTGGGAGGTTCTTCGAATTACAATTCCTTCCCAGACGATCTTTACCTGGACGATCAAGAGGCCTCGGAAGGTTCTGGACGAGGTGGAAACGAGGGACGAGACGACCTTGAAGCATCTGGTAGCGGTCTTGGTCCTGACGACGAAGACGGTGATGACGAACATGGTAATAAAAACAGAAATATAAATCAATAAATAATTTATAATAGCAGATAGTAACAATATTGTTTTTTTTTTGTTCATATTTATTTCATTTATTTTTTATTTATCTTATTATTCTTTTCTTCTTCTAGAATTCGACTCGAACAATAACAGAATAGAACCTGTGCCAAACAAACCAATTGAACCAAAGGAACCCTACATTGATGAAAATAACAACAACAATAAAGTTCAAGTACGAGAAAAGAATATTACAATATTTTTATTCTTTTCATTTTATTTCATATGTAAAGTATATTATAAATTATTCACAAGAGAACACATGCAAAGATCATGCATGCGTAATATATTTATGTGTATAAAGCTGAATTTTGAATAAGTTTCATATTTTTTAGTTGTTTTATTTTACTTGTTATTTTTTCTTTTTTTTTCATGTAGACCAACGTCGATACAATAAACCGACCAGATAACGAGGAAGTCGATGTAATCGAGCCATCAACTGGTGAAGACGAACACGTGGATAACACTGACGATAGTCACGACGTTTACATAATGAATCCAAAACACGAGGACCGTGCCAGTTCATTCTTTGCACAGCCTGGCGTTTTAGCGGGTATACAAATCTATTTTGTTCATTCTTTATTAATTACAATTGATTGCAACAATGTAATATACAAAAAATTGCATTCATTGCATCAAACAATGATAGTAGAATTAATAGGAAAGAAGTAATAAATATTATATCAATTGTATATTCACATTTACGTGTTCAAAAGCAACAAAAAATTGATTGCAACATTGTGATATACAAAAAATTGCATTCATTGCATCAAACAATTATAGTAGAATTAATAGGAAAGAAATAATGAATATCATATCAATTGTATATTCGCATTTACTTGTTCAAAGGCAACAACAAATTGATTGCAACATTGTGATATAAAAAAAATTGCATTCATTGCATCAAACAATTATGTTAGAATTAATAGGAAAGAAATAATGAATATTATATCAATTGTATATTCGCATTTACTTGTTCAAAAGCAACAAAAAATTGATTGCAACATTGTGATATAAAAAGAATTGCATTCATTGCATCAAACAATTATGTTAGAATTAATAGGAAAGAAATAATGAATATTATATCAATTGTATATTTGCATTTACTTGTTCAAAAGCAACAAAAAATGGATTGCAACATTGTGATATAAAAAGAATTGCATTCATTGCATCAAACAATTATAGTAAAATTAATAGGAAAGAAATAATAAATATTACATCAATTGTATATTCGCATTTACGCGTTGAAAAGCAACAACAATAAAACTAAAGCAGACAAATTAATAAATTTTGTTTTGTTTTTTTAGCGGTAATCGGTGGTGCTGTAGTCGGCCTACTTTGTGCCATACTCGTGGTGATGTTCATCGTATACAGGATGCGCAAAAAAGATGAAGGTTCGTACGCATTGGACGAACCAAGAAGATCACCAGCGGCCCAGGCCTTTCCTAAACCGGGCGCACCCCATCACAATCGAGAATTTTATGCTTGAAGAGACGTAGGCCATCTGGCTTCGTTACCGGCTAATTTTCCTACCATGAAGAAGAATATTCTGGTAGAATGTCGCGATTTCAAGCCAGGGAATAGAAAGACACGCACGATCGAATCGTATCGATATCAAGACGATCGTAGCTGGACGATGATTTGAATGATCTAGCCGTAATGCTCGATAATGATGATGATGATGATGGTGATGATGATGGATGATGAAGAAACTGACGACGACAATGATGATGATAATGATGAAAATAAAAATAAAAGAAACGGCGGAACACGTGGCAACTCTCTTTATAGGACAAAACAAAAAGATAATACACGCGCATACGACAACAACAACAACAACACAAATTAAAATAGAAACAAAGAAAACCGGGGGTTAGGGTGGGGGGAGGGGAAGTAATATTTAATATAATACAAATTAAATGAAAATAAATTCAAGAAAAAATATGATGGCGGGCAAGAAGAGGAAGCGTCGCGATCGACCAATCCCGTGACAGTAAACTTCATTTCTTCTTCGTATTACGAAGCTCGTTCATCCCAATCAGACACTTCGTTTAAGTGTAACACGATTGAAACGCGTTCTGCAGTCCTACCTCCGCGTACTCCTTCGAAAAATTATTGTCTATTTGTTCCTTTTTTTTTTTTTTTGGTTTTTTTATTATTTCAATTAAATTATTATTCTTTTTATTCTTTTATTATTTATCTTCTTCTTTCTTCTTCTTCTTGTGTTTTTATTTTCTTCTCGTAAATTTATAATCATTGTATTCATTATTTATTGTCTTTTCGTCAATGCAACACCTTCTTCGAGATTTTTGCTGAATTTCAAAATTCCCGCGTTTTAATCTACTTTTATTTATACAAATTTTATCTTTATTATTTGATTTTATTTATTTTTCTTCGTTAAAATCGTTTTTTTTTTTTATTCAAAAAACGAAACAGAATTTAATCTAAGTGTGATTTTAATTCATTTTAACTTTTTATATCGAACATCGATCGATAAAATCTGTCCTCAGTATTTCATTGTTCTTTATAAATTATATTATTATTTGTTTTATTATTTTGTTTTTTTGTTTGCTTTTAACAAATTCTTGAAAACTAATCAATCGTGGTATATATTCGTGCTCTCTCTCTTTGATTAAAATATATGTATGTATAAAGATGAAAGAAACTGTATGTATATGGAACTATATTTTAGAAGGTGTCCGATTCTTTTCTTTTTCTTTTTTTTTTTTTTCATTCTAACTTTTGGTGGAAGGAGGAAATATATATATATATTATTAAAAGAAAAAAAAACAAAAACAAAAGAATTTCCGTGGACACCGATTCCAAATGCATTTACACATACCGGTAGATCATATACGACATCAATATGCATTTACGTCTAGCTGCATATTAATTATTATTATTAATATTATTATTATTATTATTATTATTATTATTATTATTATTGTTATTATCATTATCATCATTATCACTATCATTATTATTATTATTATCATTATTATTATGATAATAAATATATATTTATGTGTGCGTAGAAAGAAAGTGTGAGTGAGCAAATGAATGAATGATTGAATGAATGAATGAATGAATGAGAAAAAGACAAGATGAAAAAGATGGTATATGTGTGGGTGTGTGTGCAAGCGTATAGTGTATGTAAAAGAGTTATAAAGATACTTGAAAAATTGTGTGGTTAAATGAGAGAGAAGAAAAAAAAAAAAAAGTAAAACAAATGGCCACACACACGCATTAATAATATTGTTGATTTTTCAATCTTCCCAAAGTGATGGGGGAAAAAAAAAAGGGAAAAGAAGAAACAATATCTCAATAATTATTTCTTTTTTTTCCTTCGATTAAAATAATTCAATCGATGTAATAAAAAAAATGTTAACTATAATCGTTACCCTTTAATATACCGATAATTAGATTATTAAGAAAAAGAAAAAAAACAACAACAAATGTATTTTTCCTCGTCGCGTTTTACTTAAAAATAAACACACACACAAATAAAGTCGAAATGCAAGGACGAAAAATGAATTTGGCGCCAAGAAAAATCAAGATGGCGATTACGATAGATAAATCTAAATAATCGGTCGATTTAAAGGGTTAACGATGTATTTCCACAGAGAAAATGGTACTGTGTCTCACACACAAATGTGTAATATAATAATAAGCCTATGAATGATGATGATGATTATAATGATGATTATTATTACTATTATTATTATTATTAATATTATTATTAATATTATTATTATTATTATTATTATTATTATTATTATTATTATTATTATTATTAAAATATAATATAAATCGATCGATCGTTTCGCGAGAAACTGTGTACATATCGATACTTCATAACGATCGATCGTCTTTTTTTTAAGTTTTTTAATTAATTGATATATATATATATATATATATATATATATATATATATATAAATATATCTCACATTTTTTTTTGTTCAGACGTTTCTGATTGAAATAATTAATAATTTAATTATGTAATTTGTTAATTAATTAATTGTATATATTCGGTCGAAAGTTTGCGCCCTTACGTTCCATTTGTTTTTTTTAATTTTTAAGTATTATTTTTATTATTATTATTATTATCATTATTATTATTATTATTATTATTAATATTTATGTATGTAAGAAAAATGATATATCGATCGTCTAATACCATAAACAGATTTCATTGGATTTAATATCTAATCCAATGATGAATTTCGTAATATTGAATTATTTGATACAATTATTAAAATGTATTTCAATAAGAAATTTACTTAATTTATATATTACGTAATTCCCTTATGGTATTATTATAAATGGTGCCATATATACATATATGTCTGTATGTATTAATTATGGTCTTTTATTTAATTGATTATATTGAAAGATCGGACATAAGATGAAACATTTGAAATTTTGCCGCGCAACAAATGGAAAGATGGCGTAGCTTTCTTTCTTCCAATCAACGACAATGATGATGATTATCATGATCATAATGATATAACAAAATAATAAGAATAATTTGAAAAATTATAAATCATTTGTTTGTTTGATTGATTATTTATTTTGAATTTATGATTGAATTGATTATTTTCAAAGATCGAATATAAAATGAAACATTTGAATTTTTGCCGCGCAACAAATGGAAAGATGGCGTAGCTTCTTTCTT